TTCAATTAAAAAGGTATAAATCAAGAGGGAGGGAAGGGGGTTGGTCCCACAGACTGTCCCCCCCCAGCCCGGGGTGGGGTGTCCCTTCTCTGTTCCCGTCCCCCCCCCTCCCCCAGGCGGTGGTTTGGCCCGGCCAACGGGCACGTGGGGAGGGGCGGGGCGCTGGGAGGAGCTAAAAATAATTAAAAAAAAGGAGAAAATTAGATACTAAAAGCAAGCACCGACCGGGAAGGAGGCGGGCGCGGGGCTGGCGGAGGGTGCGGGGTTGGAGGAGGCTCCGGGAGCGGATCTGCGGGGAGAGAGAGAGAGAAAGGGCGGGTGAAAGGGCTGCCTCTGAGGAATTCAAGCAAAAATTGAAAATAAAGGGGATTTAAACCCAAAATGGGGACTTGGGACACCGGCAAGGGGCCAGGAGGAGGCCGGTTTTCGCAGGGGGTATTTTTGCGTCCAGAAAGAATTTTAAAAAGCGCTTGAAGAGTGACCCCTAATTTTTAGGAGGACCCAAAATCCCTAATTTTGACCCCAGATCCCCTGCTCGCCCCCTGGGCTGGTGCTCAAGGGAGATCCCTCCTCCCCATACTCCTCAGCTCCAAACACAACCAGCTTTTGCTCTAAAGATATTTTTCCCACCCAAGAACGATCACACACAGACATTTTAACCAGGAGTTTGGTATTTATTTTATAGGGTTTTGTTATTTTTTTTTTTCTTGTACCCAGAGCACGCCATGACCCGTGTTCACCCACCAGCTCCCACACACAGAGAGGGGGCCGTGGGGGCCGAAGGATGACCCCCAGCTCCGGAGGAACACTGGGATGGAGGGCTGGGAGCCGGGGAGCAGAGCTGGAGGGGTCGGTGGGGTTGGTTTTGGCACTAAAAAAAGGAAAACGGAGATAATTTGGTGGAACTTGGAGGAGCCCGAGCGCTGCTGGCTCTGGCTGCCGGCGTTTCTCGGTGTCGTGTCCCCCCCAGCTCCCCCCCCGGCTCGAGTGGATTAAATTTTCGAAGCCTTTGATGGTCTGGGAGTGTGTGGACCATCGGGTCTGCTGCAAATTCCCAGCCCCCAGAGGAAAAAAAAAAAATCCATTTACGTCTCGACTCCAGAGCTGGTTCATCCTTCGGCCTTTCCTCAACCCCAGATCAAACAGCATCATCAGTTCAGTCTTTATTTTTTTTTTTCCTTTTGTGTTTTTTTTTTGTTTGTTTTTTCTTCTTTTTCTTTAAAAGAAGCTAATATACAGAATATAAAGCACAATATTTACACCAGTACGGTAAACAGGTTCATTTCCACACCCATCAGTAGTCTGTTTTAAATGTGTATAAAAGAAATTGTGACGTGACCTAAGAGGAACTGACAAGAAGTGACACGGCGTGGGGGAAGAGTCCTCAGTACCCTCCGCTTAAAAACACATTAAATAATAAATAAATCATTTTTGGCAGAACTTGGCAACGTACACTTGAGCTGCAGGGAAGGTGCTTGAAGGACTGAATTGGGTGTCTCTTTTGGTGAAACCAACGTTACACGAGAAGCGTGTTCCAGCAACTGAGCTTTTCGTCATCCTCAATGCTCTCAAATAAAGAAATTTTAGGATTTGGGATGAAATCTGGGCAGGGATGGTCAGCTTGGGCAGCCGACGAGCCCCGGGGATGGGTTTGTGGCACTGGGGTGTTCCACCACCACGAGGACACGGGTCCAAAGCCACCCCAGGGCTTGTTTTAAGCATTAAAGTCATTATTTCCTCCAAAGATGGAGCCAACCAGACCTACGAGCACCTCCCTCTGCTCACCCAAGTGCTTCCCTGTTGGAGCGGCTCGGATCAGGAGGGAATGGTGATTTCCAGAAGCATCAGATGCCCACCTCTCAAACACAATTTGTTGCTTCTTCAAAAGAGAAGCTCTGAAAGGCTCCCGCGAGCGCGGAAGGGTCTTAAGACACACTGAACTACACACAGAAACAGACAAAAAAACAACAGAATCAAGTGTTTTCTCACTACTCTGCCAAAGACTTCAGTGCTCCCCTCGCCACAAAGGGGTTTGGCAAGGGCTGAGTTCAGAATTTGGCAGGGAGTGTTCGGAGTTCACCTCTAAAACCCGCATTATTAACACCGTTATTAATTACTACGTGTCGCCACGAGCGGCGATTGCTTTTCTCGTTTAAAACTCAAACTGACAGAAGTTACATTCTACTGAAAGCTTAAAAATCAAGCATTTGGGTGACTTAACACTGAAGGCAAACCTTTTTAAAACCTGCGCGTTCCCCTGCAACCAAGCCCCGGACCAGTGCAAAAGAATAAAAACAACCAGAAGTCCCGAAGCAACATGTGGAAAATCCTCAGCAGGGTGGTATTAACACCACGGAAGCACTAATTGGTTCTTAATTCTGCTGTGATAAATCGTGCTTTAGACATTCAGCTCTAAAACGAAGCACTCTTAAACGTGAAATACAATGAAAGACTTCCCAGTATTGCAATTCTCTTCCTCACACGCTCCAACACAAACATTATCCCGTGGGTTTGGTTTTTTTTTTTCCAGAGCCAAGGGAAACAGAAGGGAAACGTCAGGAAATCAGAGCTGGGAGCACTCACCAGTCGCTGGGGCTTTTCCTCAGCCAACCTCGGACCCGTGACCCCGCTTGTGTTTTTGCTGGCGGGGATGGTTATGCAAAAAATAATGAACAATAATCTCAGATGCAGCTTTAGATCTGTATTCAGGCACAATTCTCATCTATTGGTTTTCTTCATCAAATTAATTCCAATTTATACCGGTGCAGATAATTTATCTTCTAACCAGGTAGAAGACAAAAGCTGCTTTGGGGCAGATTTTAAGGATGCTGCAATCACCCCTGGTTTTTAGGGGAGCACACGGAGGTTCCTTCCCCTCTGCAGGAGAATTCCTCGCAATCAGTAGGAAAAAAAGAAAAATAAAAAGGCAAATAAACAGGGGAAACAGCAATAATTCTGCAGTTCACCTGTTTCGCTTGCCCCGAGGAAGCGACGGGCGAGTGCCTCGCAGCCAGACCCCTCGATTGTTTCCACCTTGTCCCTTGACACCGTCGGAGAATTTGGGAGTCCCATCAGAGCAGAAAATATTTTACAAGGGAATTATCGCGTTTGCTGACAGAGTTCTGTTTGCACTTTAAAAACCTCTAATAAAAATAGAATATATACTGTGTTTTTTATAAATAGATTACACATTTAGCTTAGATGAGTTTCATTACATTCCCCCCCACAGACACTTTTTTTTTCTTTTTTTAAATAATTTTGTTTTTTCGTTGTGTGAACTAATACAATAATTACTAAGTCTTTGAAAAAAACCTGTTTGTACCACATTATTCTTTGGACATTTCTGAACAACATGCATCCACAAAAGCAACCGCCATTTGTTTAGTGAAAACATTTGTTTTGTACAAACCCATTTTAGGAATTTGATCTTATTATTACACGGCGAACAAGCAAAAAAATTTGCTTCCTTGAAACCCCCTTTTAAAAAATGAGAAACAATGAGGAGGATTTTCTGATTGTTAAGTCTAAAAAAGTGTCAATATGACACCGCCTTAAGAATAGAAAACAAAAAGAAAGTATTTACAGCTTTACAAAGGAAAAACGGAAGAGGTCATCAAAATAATTTCCAGCATTTTCACAATGTTTGTTTTTTTTCTGGCCAGCTTTTGATCTGGTTTCTCCAGAGTGGTGATACGTGAATGGAAGGGGATCACTGTCAGCTCAAGCAGCAGCAGCAGCATCGTGTGACACTAACCCAAAGACCTCGTAGGGAAACTTACACCCAGGACCAACCCTCCTAACTCCCGAGGGGTCGATCCACCCAGACCTGTACAACCTAAAGGAAAAGAAACCCCCAATCCCGAGTATGAAAACACCTTTTCTTCTTTAAAAATGGATTACATATGGTTATAAGAAACAGACACCAACAACCACGGTAATTTACCCTCGTACACATCACCCTCGTACACATTATTTCTATCCCTTCTACTACAAACCCACATCCCTTACACTTACCAACAAATGCAGCCCTATTACAGATGCTCCTCGTAATTATGGCTCTGAGATAAACCGGAGATTACAATTAGCTTCTTTCCACAGCAAATTTCTGCTCCCTCACTTGGCTCTCGCTGTCGAACTGAGGATATTCTTCCCTGCCCTCAACATACCAGCTACTAGTGTCAAGAAGACTCAGCTTTTTTTTTCCTACCAGGACACTGAGTTTTAAAGAAAACAAAACTCAACCAGCAGCTAAGTCGGACGGCTGTTAAAATGGCTCAGTTTCTCCAGTCCCAAAGAGCATTTCAGAATTGAGGAGAGCTGAACGAGAGCCCCCAAGGAGGCCCATTTGCCGTGGGAGAAGATGCTTCAACACCACCTCCACCAAAGTCACTAAAGCATCACCCACATCCGGCTTTGGCAGATCCTTTCTCAGCCTGGTGAGAAACTACGGATTAGCAGCTCAAGTTCATACAGGCTTGAAAAATCCTTAAGAGTACTTAATTGAAAACATGCAGTCCCAGCCCCCTCGGAAAAATATCACATCTCTTGCCCCCACCC